TTTTAATGATTGTTTTGATGGTGATATTATAATTAACGAATGTATTTTATTTAAAAATGACATTTCGATTTTCGGTTGACAATTTAATGATGACATTTTAGTGGATAATGTTTTAACATAAGTTGGATTAAGATGAAGGAAATAAAACAATTTTAAAAACAGTGAGAAGACGGAAATAATCGTTCATCCTGAAAAGGGTTTATGGATTATAAAAAAGGAAAGGGATTATGGGAAAGGATTATTATTCATAGAATCAAATGAATATGAAATACGTTGATTTCCACCAAAACTATTCAGTTCCCCTTTAGGTTAAGTTTACCTGCACCATGCTTATCCTAGGTTTACCTGCACTATGCTTATTCTAGGTTTACCTGCACTATGCTTATTCTAGGTTTACCTGCACTATGCTTATTCTAGGTTTACCTGCACTATGCTTATTCTAGGTTTACCTGCACTTTGCTTATTCTAGGTTTACCTGCACTACGCTTATTCTAGGTTTACTTGCAACATGCTTACTTTACTAGGCTGGGTTATTTCCAGGTTTCTTTTTCATCCCTCTGTATTGCATACGGTTATTTTTAAATTTCTTTTTGGTGATATCAAACTAATTAGCTTCAATATAAATTTATGATCACAGATCACAGTTTTCAGACATTAACAGTGTCTTTTTTTTTTTCTTATTACTTTAGTTTGAAATAGGAAGAAGAAGGAACTTAAAGAGGGCAATTTAATTTTTTAAAGTGTATGTGCAAGCAGAGGGACAATCCGATTAATTGATTGATTGATTTGGTCAGTAAATTATTCGCAACTAATTGAACTAATAAGAAAGCGAATTAAGAGCTAGTTAAATTAACAAGTCAAATTAATAACTAGGAAAATTAATAGCTAAGTGAATTAATTAGTAACTGCGTAAATTGTTCATAACTAATTCAGCAGCAACTCGTTGTCTTTTTCATCTTTTTTTTCTTTTTCCTTTTTAATTATTGTTTTTCTTAATTCAAAAATATGCGAAATAAAGTGTGGAAAGAACAAAGCGAAAGAAAGGAAAAGAAAAAAAGTGAATTTCAAAATGTAACAAACAATTTTTTAACTATTTGAAATCTAAAAGTTTAAAGTGCTGTATGAGTCGTAAATTTCTATTACTATTCTTGAACTAACAACGATTGATTATAGTAACTATCTGTAAAGTAAAGATAAAAGGAAGGAATTTGAAGAAGGGGAGAGAGAGAGGAGGAAAAGAAGGAGAGAAGAGCAGAAGCAAAGGAGGGAAGTAGGGATGGAAAAAAAAAGGAAAATTTTAATTTTAAATTTAACGTTTGAAATACATAAACTATACAACGGTTGTGTATGCATTGCATAAATTTTTTCAATTTTGCTAATATTCATTGAAACTATAATTTTTGCCTCTTAACTGTAACTGTATTTTCATTCTTCTTGCTAATTTTTTTATCGAAATTACTATTCATTATTGATACTTCCATTGATATCGTTACTGATATTTTCATTGCGATTATTATTATTATTATTATTATTATTATTATTA